TACTGCTGACATCCCTGTTCATCCCGATACTTTTCTTGCAACATTCGCTGACGACACCGCAATCTTATCATCCAACTCTGATCCCAACATAGCATCCTTAAATCTCCAAAACCACCTCACCTTGATTGAGCACTGGTGTAATAACTGGCGCATTAAAGTTAATGAATCTAAATGCCAACATATTACCTTTACACTCCGACGCAGTTCCTGTCCACCAGTACACTTTAATTCCATCCAGCTTCCTTACTCAGACACAGTCCGGTATCTTGGCTTTCATTTAGACCGAAGACTAACGTGGAACCCACATACTAGACTCAAAAGACAAGAACTCAACCGACGATACGGCCAGCTATACAGACTACTAAACAGAAAATCCAAACTTTCTATTGAAAACAAATTACTTATCTACAAGACAATACTGAAACCTATATGGACATACGGACTTGAACTGTGGGGGACAGCAAAAGCTTCTAACATCAAACGTATTCAATCCTTTCAATCTAAAGTCCTTCGAACAATAGTTGATGCTCCGTTCTATGTAAATAACAAAATCCTACACCATGACCTTAATATCCCATTTGTCCTAGACCTTATTCCAGAAAAATTCTCCAAATTTCACCAAAACCTTACCTATCATCCAAATCCCCTTGCACAATCTCTATCCAGCACCACCCATCCTTACAATCCTCCTCGAAGGTTGAAGCGGCAGTGGCCCAGAGACCTTTTGTAAATAAGCATCTATTGGAGTTTTGGCAATGGCCAGATCCTCCACTCAAGCCCGAGTGTGTATGATTAGGTTAGTTCTTTTGTTTATATACATTTATTTTATTTTATTGTATTTATTTTTATTTTATTTTATTGTATTTATTATTATTAAGTTTCTGTATTATTTATTTATTTATTTATTTTTTTTTTTTATTGTAAATAGAGTGTGAGTGTGCTTTCTCTGATCACTATTATAAATGTCCTTGATGTGACAGAATGTAATAATTCTAAATAAACAAATAATAAAAAAAAAAAAAAAAAAAAAAAAAATTGGACTGTGAGCGAAAATGTTCAGCATTTCATCCTCTTTCCAATGTGTTATTTATAATTTATATTTCATATTATTAATCTTGCCTTGTTGATGTTTTCACTTCTGTTTAAAGAACACACCTCAGTTTTTTAATTTGTTTCATTTGTGTATTAATAAACAATAAAAAAAATCGTGCACCACTACAATCCATAAAGGGGTTCAGTACTTGGTATAGAAGAACTGTTTTTTAGCAAACGATTGTACAACCAGGTGAATTGACAGAGACACCTGATTTTTCCTCCTGACTCATTATTTAATTAAGAGTATCCACTCTTAATTAAATCTCCTAATCACTTTAATGGGCCTCGATGTGCCCCAGGAGGGTCTCCCGACCCCAGGATAGATCCACGGCTGATGAAATAGAATAAATAAATTACCTACCCATAAACGGACCAGAATCCGGGACTTTAATCATAATAGCACAGTGCCTTACTCACTGAGCTAACCCACTCATAATTAATTATTATAATTGCATTAAATTATATAATTTAACTAAAAATATTAAGTTAATTAATCCACTACATTTGTTTCATCAGGCTGTAAAACATTTTTTATCTTTTTCGTATCATATGTGTGTATCTTATTTTTATCAGCTATAGTAAACAAATTTATTTTGAAGACTGTGCAGTAACATTTCTGTCATAATGATGAAATCATTTATGTTTCAGAGCAAATGGGCTTTCCAACCTGCTCAAAGCATAGATTTAGGAATGAAGGTAAGTGGTACTATTTAGCTAAATATTATTTTTTTATTCATTTGCTTTTAATTTTATATGTTAATTCTGGAGATATATTTTTATCAGTTAGCCTTGACTAAAAATTATATTATTCTCTCTTTTTTTTGTAAATGATCTTGCAGTACTATTCCATCATCTTAATGTAGTCGGAATTGGTTTTAATGGAGTCGAGTTCATATGTTTACTTATGCTAGTCTTTTATATTAATTTGAATGTTACACAACTTAGTAATGTAATTATTATTTACTTGCAATTATATGCCAGACAAATCGAAATAAAAATTTAATTGCTATTGTTTATTTTTATTTTTCTTAAGGGACTAAATGTCTGAGAATAAAATTTGCTTTATTTTTCTTTTTGTTCTTTACAGATTTTTTTTTTTTTTTGTTAATAATTGATCCATATGTTTTGTAATATTAAATTCGTATATTATTCTAATAGTCAAATGTACTTCTATATATTATGATTGTGAAACATGCATGTATAATCTATTCTTAAGGCTCTGAGCACAGTCATTTAAAAATAAGGTTGAATTAATTTTTTTTATTTATTCAGAAATATTACAATCTGTCACAATTAAGAACATTTATAATAGTGTTCAGAGAGCGCATTCGCAATATATTTACAAAAATAAAAATAAATAATACAGAAATTTATAATAATAAAAGTAAATGTAGATAAGCAAAAGAACTAAACTAATCAAAATAACAACTAAAACACTTGCATACTATACAATAAGGGTTATTTTTTTTAATTAATAGTTTCTAATATTAATATGTTCAGAGGCCAGAAATCATTGTATTAGTAACATTAATCCTAATTTTTAACATTATTTCGTCTGTTTCTCCACATACTTATTTAATTATATCCTTTCTAGTTATCCAATACTCTCCTTATATTGTTCCAACGTATTCATATTGTTTTCATAATTCAAAAATTCACCTCTTCTATTCTTAGCACTAGTTGTTCCTCTATTATTAAGGTCTTAGACGGACACAGAACGTTATCTGGGGCTAATATTTGACAGAAGGATGACTAGGAGCTAACACTTCATGCGAATAAAAAAAAATGATCTTTTTTTTCCAAATAAAAATTGAAACTCATACAAAAACTAAGTAAAACGAACACACTTAATATTTGGGCTAATATTTGACAGAAGGATGACTAGGAGCTAACACTTCATGCGAATAAAAAAAAATGATCTTTTTTTTCCAAATAAAAATTGAAACTCATACAAAAACTAAGGTAAAACGAACACACTTAGTTATCTTTGGTATCTATCGTCGTTCATATTAATGCACTTATAAAAATATACTCATATTTTTATATTGTATCATTGATTTAATTTTAATTTCTTAGACGGACACAGAACGTTATCTGGGGCTAATATTTGACAGAAGGATGACTAGGAGCTAACACTTCATGCGAATAAAAAAAAATGATCTTTTTTTTCCAAATAAAAATTGAAACTCATACAAAAACTAAGTAAAACGAACACACTTAATATTTGGGCTAATATTTGACAGAAGGATGACTAGGAGCTAACACTTCATGCGAATAAAAAAAAATGATCTTTTTTTTCCAAATAAAAATTGAAACTCATACAAAAACTAAGGTAAAACGAACACACTTAGTTATCTTTGGTATCTATCGTCGTTCATATTAATGCACTTATAAAAATATACTCATATTTTTCTATTGTATCATTGATTTAATCTTAATTTCTCAGACGGAAACAGAACGTTATCTGGGGCTAATATTTGACAGAAAGATGACCAGGAGCTAACACTTCATGCGAATAAAAAAAAAAATGATCTTTTTTTTCCAAATAAAAATTGAAACTCATACAAAACTAAGTACATTCATATACCTACTTAAAGTCATATGGACCTACACTTCACAGATTTACGGTTCAACAAAAATTACTCATAAAATAAATAAAGTTCAATGAAAATGTATTAAAAAAAAAAATGTATCTATTTTAGGAGGGCTTCAGCTCGAAACCCTTCATCCTTTGAACCCACTAGTGGTTCATTGTTGTTATCCCTTGATCATTACCATAGTAAGCGCGTCGTTAATAAATCAAATTTAATTTGCAACTACTGAAAATACTATACTTTTTTCCAAATCAAAATTGAAAATCAGAAAAAACAAAATACATACACTTACCTACTCGAACCCATTTGGGCATACAGATCTCACAAATTTACGGTTCAGCAAAAAAGACACTTATAAAAACTACAAGCTTTCCAGTCCAAAATTTTATACTAATAACAACAGCTCTCTGGTACGTAAACAGCGAAACTTTACATGCCGAGAACGTAAATGACAGAATTTTTTTACACTTTTCAAAATATCGGTAATATTTGAATACTTGACCATTGCCGAGAACGTAAATGACAGAATTTTTTAACACTTTTCAAAATATTGGTAATATTTGAATACATCACCATTTATAAAGAAAATGTAGTGTAGGTATTGTCAGCAGGCAGGTTGAACTTTGTAATAATTGAATACATGATAAAAAAAAAAAATCAATATTTTGCTTTTAGTCTATGCATCTTCTTGACCAAATGATGAATTCAAATATCACAAAGACACCCGCAAAGACACAAACAGGGAAAATGTTAGAAGTCTACTACATTTTTCGAATAAGTTAGATCAGAGGTTGACCTATTCGCTCACCCCAATGTGCGGCACCACTAAACTCCAGAATGTTAAAGCGGTCAACGCCTCAATACGGTCAATCGTCACGGCCTCAATTTATTAAACATCCTCTTTTTTATCTCAGAACACTAATGACATAAACAATAGGATACCTCCGAAAATATACGATCATTCGTATTATCTTGATTTTAATATTTGGCCCTACGGAGGATAACTCGACAAGCTGATTTAGGCGTCAACGCTATATAGTATTGCCTGATCAGCGCTCGGAGAATATAATTGAAGTAATAGCTTCGCCGAATTGGGCATGTTAAGTTGTCAGGCTGATTACGAACGGATCACAAGGTAACCGGCTTTGTCGGGTATAAATCTAATATCAGATCGTATGATTCTGTTAGTTAGATTTCGTATGTTTTTTCAACCTTGTGAATTCATAAGGTTATATATAGATCCTCGGTGAGCTCAGAGGTCAAGAGAAAACTTTGGATGAGCACAGTACTTCCTGTCATGACATATGGTTGTGAAACATCGGTAATTGACCAGAAGACTTGTCACAAATTGAGGATAACCGTCAGAGGAATGGAGCGATATCTTCTTGAAATAACACTAAGGGATAGAAAAGCAAACAAATGGATCAGAGCTAAGACCGACCTTCCAGATATTGTGGAAAAAGTGCTCATCAGAAAGTGAACCTGGACCGGACATGTAATCAGGAGGAATGAATTAACATGGACCAGGCATTTTATGGATTGGTATCCAAGATACCACGTGAGGAAGAGATGACGCCAGCCGACAGACTGGGAACAAGGAGATGAAGAAGACCTGCGAGGGAGCAGTCTGGAAGAGAGTAGCGTTAGAGAGGAAAGGGTGAAAACGGATGGGACAGGTTCATTATCTAGTGTGGTTGGAAGAGAGCTACAAAAAAAAAAAAAAAAAAAAAAGGATGAAAATCGAACTCAAAACCTCAACTAAAATGTTGATTTTGTTCATATAAGAATGTCAAGTATAAATCAAAATGTGAATATTTTGTATATACCTATTTTTAGCCATTGTTTTTTTTTTTTTTTTGCAATTTATGTACAAATAAAGGTTATTATTATTATTAAGTTCATAAGGATTGGGTGGAATGAGGCCTTTCGGCATCCCGCCTCCCTGTCCTCCAATGCCTTGTTACTTTGATGCACTATTAGTCGACAAGTGCTCGGCGGTGGAATACACTTGGTCCAGAGCCTTGCAGGTTAGGATACTACCACTGGAAGACCTTGCGGTACCCGGAACGGTAGCGCCCGGACGGACTGATGCCCTGATTGATCTTGCAGGGCAGGATGGCGATGAGGCGAGGTGGCGCAAACAGGTTGTGCGGCGCGGGGGCGCTGAGTCAACGACCCGGCCCCAGTTGGCAGAGCGCTATGCACCCGGAGGATCCCAGCTGACAGGCGGCACAGTTCCCTCCTTCTCACATCTAGTCCTTGTGCTCTATTTATCTGCTCGGCTTTAATTGAATACCTTATCCAATCCTCCTGACCCACTTTTATTTCTTTTGCTATAGGAGTAGGAGATTTATCAAGTCAGTAAAAATAGCAATAGTAAATTTATTCAAGGTCTGTAAGAAATCGGTTTATCAGAAGAGTAACTGGGTTGTATTATAAAACTCAATAAAAACAAGTTTGTATTGAGTTTTAACGTTATATACATTTTTGCTGTATATTGGTATCCTCAAATCTCTCTTGACGGCGGCTATCAATCAAATCTGTTATGACCATGGCGTGCAGGATTTTATTGAGATGTTCGGAGGATGTTATGGCTCCACCCAGGCCATTTCAACCTGAATATGTATAAATACAGATATAAATAAAGAGAGTGAAGTAGCTCTGTGATTATGGCATGGAACGCTATGGTTCGAGTCCGGTTGTGGCAAGTAATGTTTTATTCTGTTCCTCATACAGTTATGATCGGAGAAACACTATATCTATAAACTAGCGGGTACTCTTAATTCAATATTTAATTAAGGGAGAAAACGTTTCCTTCTCCTTCTTTTTTCCGTTATCTCGCATTTTCGGTTACATTTATGTATCTAGTGCTAATATCTGCACTTAACAGAAATCCTAAAAAAGAAAAAAAAAAACTCGATTTGGACACCTTGATTGTCTGATATTAGAGTATCCATACTTTCAGAATTATTTTCAAATCTTCTGTTCCTGAATATTCGGGATTTTCACTGATCAAGGAGCATGATCTCGGTCCCAACATCTCTCTGTATAACGGTTGTCTTGAAACAGTACTTCCTTACGAAATGTTGAACCCCAAATTTCCCAAGAATTGTTACGGCATAGGTTTAAATATATACATATATTGAAAATATCCGCATTATTTTTTCTGAATGGCTTTTTTCTAATCGCTTTAGCGATGTTGTATCAAATGTTTTACAAAAAAGTCTATCAGCTAAAATCTTTATTTAGCACGTTTACTTTTTGCTTGTCTTAAAAGTAGTTTTACCAAGGAATTTATCTTGGTTAGAACAGTATTTTTACAGACGCTTGTATGATGCTTGCCAACTTTTTTAAAAATTTTCTGTGCCAATCGCTTCATCTGTGGTGTGTTAATGTGACAGTAACATGCTATGAATTATCTAAGTTTTAGGAGAAACAAAGTTAAAGGAGAAAGACTGTTGCCTATTTATAAATAAATATAATTATAGACCCCTTTTTATCGAATTATTAATATCCGCCTGAAACTTCGTAAATAGTTTCATCTCATCGTAACCTACAACTATTTTATTTACGAAAACTCTTGCAATTGGGGCGTTTTTAATATGGATGGGGACTAAGTTTGTCTATTTAATTTGGTAATAAAAACTCGTAAATACACATTTGTTTTCTACTTGGATCGTAAGATAATTTGATCGTGAAATAGACAAAAAATATGGCCTATAAAAATATTGGGCCGTTTGTACTATATTAACTTGTTATTTTGAAAGTGTTGAGGTTCAGGTCACGCAAATGGCTCAATATTTTTTAAGGGCACCTTTTTTCTCGATTTTATGATCAAATTATCTTACGATCCAAGTAGAAAGCAAATTTGTATTTACGAGTTTTTATTTCCTGATTAAATAGACGAAGTTGGTTCCTTCCAGATTGCCCCTGAACACCCCAATTCCAAGAGTTTTCATAAATAAAATAGTTCTAGATTACGATGAGATAAAACTATTTACTAAGTTTCAGGCGGATGTTAATAATTCGATAAAAGGGGGTCTGTACCTCGGACTATTAATTTAAAGAATGCCTGCTTATTATAATAAAGATATAAGGTTTATGTAGCACTTAATTAGTTTAAATTTTAGCTCTCAATATTCAAATGTTAATATTCAGTCATTTTATTTCAAACACTCAATTATCATAATTATTTTTATTTGCGATCGTTTAGGATTGTATTTTTAATAACTTCAGATTTTTAGAAATTTCAGTTCTAATTTCATTTGCAGGGCCGTACATAACTTACTTAATTCCAACAACTATGAATAAGTATCTAGTGCTAATAAAAACTCAAAAAAAAAAAAAATGGCTTGGAATCCTTAACTGTCTGATGTTAGAGTATTCATAATTCCTCAATAATGAACAATTATATTTAATTCTTTCGCGCTTGGATAATTACAAGGTTATATTGTATAATAATGTGGTGTATCCATAATAGAAAAATGGTATAGTATGATATAGAGCCCTGCCCACAAGACTGAAAAAGAGACTGAAGAGAATCATGACTTGTTTCATAAGATTCATCTTTGGGATCCCCAGCCATTCTCATGTTTTCTGCTTATACTCCGAGTTGAAGTATCCCTCCTATCCTATTCTACTTTCCGACGGCAATTCCTTTTTGGTATTTTCCTTTCCTAAGTCTTCAGAACCAAAAATCCTCCCTAAATCCTAGAAGTTCTTACTCTACGTTCCTCTATCCACTCTCTTAATACCATATCTCATCCTGTAGATTTATATATCCCCTCCCATAAAACCACTTTCTTCAGCAAATCCTTCGTCATTTCGGACTCAGCAAAACCTCATTTTGGCACTCTTTACCTATATCCATATGTCAAACCACGTCCACAAATTCCTTCAAACAACTAGTCCTCCACCTACTACACATTCAAACTTTCGCAAGCTTGTAAGAATTTTTATCTTATGTGATTATAATTGCTTGCCAACAGTTTATTGCCATTTTAATTTTCTTTCAGTATTTTTTTTGTATATAATTGAAGTTTCCTAAGGATTCTTTGTATATATTTGTATTATAACAACATACCAGACTGATTTATATATTTCTTGACGTTCTGTTATTCTAAGGGGACTTAAGTTCAAGAATAAAATTATTTTTAATTTCATTTCAAAAAAATAATATTATTCTTTTGTAATAGCACGATTGTTGTGACAGAATCGCTTTCTCATAAGATCTGATTGATGATAACACGAAAGAAATTGGTCAGTGTGCCAATTATGATGTTTCCGTATTATTATTAATGATCCTTCCATATTTGGAGAATTGTCATCTTCCCATATTTCAAAAAAACCATTGAACCACAAAAATGGTAACAATTAATCAAACAAGAATGGTCTTTCCATTCCATCTACAGATATCTCTGACAATTTATCAGAGTCGCCATATTTGGGACGTCTTTACCTTTTAAATGTTGTTATTGTGATATTTCAATAGCGCACTTCTACCCACGCCCTATGGCTATATCACTTATATTTAATTATGTTTATGCCTCTCCTCTTTGTTACGAAATGAAGCAATAGAAGCTTGTTTGTTTTTTCCCCTCCCACGGCAATGAATCACTAGTTTTGCTAATAGGAACTTTTATTTTTTTTTCAAAAATAGTTAAAGGGACTTTATCAAATACCTATTCAATCTATTAAGAACTCCGAAAACAAGAGTCTTAATCAACCTAAAGCTCGCAAATTGGGAAAGAGTTTAATTTTTGCTTGTCCTAAAAGTAGTAGACTTTTATCTTGGTGGAACAGTATTTTTACAAATTCTTGTAGGATGCTTGCCAACTTTTTTTTATTCACTGTTCCAATCACTTCATCTGCGATGTTACTGTGGCATCACTACGAAGTTATAGGAAAAAGACTGTCGCCTATTTATAAATAGAAATAATTAATTCAAAAAATGGCAACTTTCTATTCTAAATGCAATAATTATTTTGATATGTGTAGCTTTCTAGTGTAGTGCAATAGTTTAAATCTTGGTTTTCAATGTTCATTTGTAAATATTCAATTTTTTGTTATGAAGATAGCCAAGAGACCTCCTAAATTAATTTAATCATTGAAGTGCTATCAATGAGTAGTTTCTTTACTTGTTTTAGCCAATTTACTTTGTTTATTTACGTATACAGTTGTAAATATCAATATTGAATTTAAAAAAAAAATGTTTTTTAAAATTATTTTTACTGTAAAAATTGAACTAACATAAATATGGAAATAATTATTTATTTATATATTCTGCGTTACCTAAATAGTCTATTCAACACAAAAAATAATTCACTTAATATATGATTAGCTTGTTTCACTGGAAGTATCCCTCCAGTTTAATAGCTATGTAGTAAGGCTCAGCTATTCCTGAACTCTTACTAATCCATTAGTACAAGCTCAAGACCTATTTGTTTGGTGCATTAAATTCTTGGCTTTTAGTCCTCTTACTATAATAATTTTGTTTTAGCCTAAAGAAAACATAGTAAGGATCCCATGTCTACCATAACACCTAAATGTCTTTCCGCAAGAGACATGATTTATAACGAGACTTTTTTGGATTTTAAGCAGGGTCTGGTGTGTGATTCCCTTGAAACTATACCCGGTCTTGATATCCACGGCGAAATCTTCAAAACACGACATTTTTTTAATGACCTCTCTCAGGATTGTGAAAGGATATTGAAGTCGCAGAAATTTAAGATAATTGCCACTTCGCATCCCGGTGCCAAGGGTGTCTTTTAACTCGGCATTGATTCCCCGCTCTCATCCCCTTGCCCGGGAAAACTCCGTATAGCCTAAAAGGCTAGGAAGGGGGGAACAAAACAAAACCTCGTTCGTCGAAATTCATGGCTCTTGAGAATCGGAAAAAAAGATCTATATTACCTGTCATATTTAGAGTAGACCTTAAAATCAATAGATAATAGTATTATAATTCAAATACGGGCGAGGTATGTGTTGACGTTGGGGACTCAATCTCATTAAATTATAGAATAAATAATTTAATAAAAGATCTATTTTTTCAGCTAATGAGATTCAAAACTAATTCTCCCATCACCGACTGACTATATCTGATCGTTTTAATTTTTTTTTTGTGGTTGTTCAGCTGTGTTCAAATCTGAGGATACAGTGTACTCCTATTTTACCTTATAATTAATTTAATTTTTACACTTTCAGTTCTATTATTTTTATTAAATAGAGAATAATTCCAAAGACTTCATAACAAAAGTTGGTTTATTTTAAAATTAGATTAATCGATAAT